TATATATATATATATATATACTATATATATATATATATATATACTATATATATATATATATATATATATATATATATATATATATATATATATATATATATATATATATATATATATATATATATATATATATATATGTAAAATACTTGTATAATTTTGAAATTGGGATGGGTAAAATAAAAATCCAAGTCATGCAATAGTTGGGTAGGGAAAAAAATGGTTGACCGAAAGGGTGGGTGGTTGTTTTTTTCTCTTTTCGATTATTTTCTCTTCGGTACCAACCCCCTGGTATAAATAATGAACACTCCCTAAGTAACATGAAGTTTTGAACTGGGGATATTTGGTTTGTGCTGTGGCGATATTATGTTTGTGCCGTGAAGTTTTTGTTCGTGCCGTGAAGTTTTTGTTCGTGCCGTGAAGTTTTTGTTCGTGCAGTGGAGTTTTTGTTCGTGCCGTGAGTTTTTGTTCGTGCCGTGGAGTTTTTGTTCGTGCCGTGGAGTTTTTGTTCGTGCCGTGGAGTTTTTGTTTGTGCCGTGGAGTTTTTGTTCGTGCCGTGGAGTTTTTGTTTGTGCCGTGGAGTTTTTGTTTGTGCCGTGAAGTTTTTGTTCGTGCCGTGACAATATCTTGTTTGTGCCGTGACCCCTATGGGCCACCGTAGAAAACCCACTTAATAGAGGATAATAAAGCGCAATTAAACATGCACATTTACTATAGATGGCCCTGAAGGGGTAAAATGGGAACTGGGATTGATCTATTTTTAGACTGAGAAAATGGGATTTGGGTTGCTGGGACTGGGATTTGGCCACTGGGAATGGGAAATGAAGTCCTCAAAAATGGGAGTCGATTCACAATTTTGATCCGTTTTTGGTGTCTTTAGTCATGATTTTTGTTGTTAACTATATTATTCACAGCATTACCTGCGAACAGGCATACTCTGGCGCCAGGAATTTTGGGTTTTCTGATTATGCGTGTCTCAGAATGATGCAAATGCCATTTCTGGGATTCAAATCCCCCCCAATATTTCATAAAGTGTCTGCCACTTGCACACACGGTCACTTAAAAGGTCTTAAAACTGTTTATTCTACCGATAAATAAAGGGTTTTTTATTGACTGGGATTTCAATAACTCGGACTGCGATTTCTAATAAAAATCCAACTGGGACTGGGATTTTGCCAAAATTTCAGGTGGAAAATGGGATTGGGACCCTCCCCCCCCCCCCCCCCTTTAGGACCCTCACTATAGGCTAATGACTCGGCAAAATTACCAAACAACAGTCGGCAAAAGATCACTCACACCCCCCACTCGAAGAGAGTTAGCGCCGCCCCTGTTCGTTAGACATGCATCATCTCCTGTTAAATCATGACAGCCATCAGCTGATTTCTCAACAATCAAATTTGAATGGACTGCACCATTGCCCACCGAACCCTGCACCGGGCCAGATAATAGCCATCCCAACTTACTGCCAACTGCAACAAGCTCAGAACGGTCCGTTCCACGCCTTGTCTCACCAATCACAATGTCCCAATAATGATCTGATCCTACCAATATGTCAATCGCGCCGTCCGAAGATTCCCAATCATCAGCCAAATCTAATCCCTTTAAATGTTGGCATTCAACATTCACCCTGGAGGGTAACGGTGTACAAATAACAGGATAACTTGTGGCAATTATATCAATTACATCATTGCATTGTGGTTTCTTCAGTTGTAAATTCACAATGTCACAGTTTTGTGTCTTGTATCTCGACTCTCCGAATGTGTTCAGTTTCAATTTGTCCTTCATGATGGGCTTAAGTCCCAATCGTGAGCGCACATTGTCAGTCACATAGGTTCGCTGACTGCCATTATCAAAAAGTATGCGAACTGGAATTGTTCGATTGTTTTCCTTGTTAAAGGGCATCGCTCGAGCTGTTTGCAAAAGAACATTCTTATCTTTCCTTGCCTTGGTTGCACTTGCTGTCGTAACACTTTTCGACACTCAGGCTTGCTCTTCAGGGGATTTACCCTTTGTATCACTATTAGCCCCATGGACCCTTTCGCAAATTGACTGGTGGTGTTTGTTATTACAATGTCTACAATTTCGTGTTGATTTGCAGTCCCTAGACATAAGGTTTGGGTTCAAACAAATAAAGCATCGCCCCGCCTTTTTCAAAGCATCCTTTCGGTCTTTCGCGTTAACAATAGTTTGGCAAGATGCCGAGTAGTGCTCCCCCTGACAATAAACACAACGTATTTTACCATCATTACTGAACAAAGCATTTGTCGTACCTGCAGGTCTCTGAGTCTTGCTACTGCTCAAACTTGCATTATGAACCTTGCTTGCATCACTTGCTTCTCGCGCTTCGACTTCCGCTTGAATCGTCTTGAGTAACTCGTTAATCTCCCATACCTCCCCTGTTGCCTTTCTCGCTACTTGAAGTTTGATTTCGCTCGGTAACTTGTCCATTATAATCGGAATTAGAAGACTACCATACTGGTCAGCTGACACACCCAACGATTCTAGTCCTCTTACATGTATACTTATCTTATCATAAACATAACGCAATGAGGATAGATTATCCTTGTTACAACTGGGTATTTTCAACAATTCATCCATGTTTGATGTTATAACACGCTGAGGTTTACCAAACCGTTCCTTTAAAAGTGCAATTGCATGTTCATAATTTGCAGAGGTGAGTGATAAACCCTGGATAGCACGCGCTGCTGCGCCTTCTAACAGGGAGTTTAGGTAGTTAAATTTATCTATTGTTGATAATAGTGTATTGTCATGAACAGCGACTTGATAAGAATCCCAAAATCCAGTCCAATTTGCAACATTTCCTTTAAATTTTGATAATACTAACTTCGGTAATTTCGGTCGGATTTGGGTCACCCCTGAAAGAGAATTTAACTGAGCAGGGGGTATCGCTGTTTCCATAGTAACCGTCTCGTTCTCTTGAATCATGGCCGTACTCGAGGCCCCATTGACATTGTCATCGTTTAGACTCGAATTTTCCCCCGTATTATTGTCGCTCGTACTTGACTTGTTTATAGGCAAATTTCCCGTCGTAATCTTTTCAGGCGTAGACAATTTTACTGTAACTCGATTAATTCCGTCTTGGATATTTCGTTGGGTATCTAGTAAGTATACACGATATTATATCCTCTGCTGCTTCGATTTCGTCTGCGATCTCTGTAACCTCACATAAATCTACAACTTGCGAATCCAAATCCTTGATTTTTGCTAACTTTTCGTCCAACAAACTACCTATAGTTTGTAATCTCCCCGTATTTACTTCGCTTTGCTGCAAAATATACTCTGCTTCCTTCGTTAACTTCGTAATAACAGCTCGGTTGCCCGCCCGAACCGCCTTTATTCTCGCCAAATTTTCAGTCATATTTCTCGTCGTTAATCGCTATAATTTCATTGTTTCGCTTTAGAACCGGTATCTAACATCTCAAATAACTTTCTCTCGCCGCCACGTTGGTCGCCATGTAGTAAATCGATCGAATAAACCGTTAAAACTCATACATATTTAATAAAAACCTTCGTATTTAATATTTCCGCAGCGAAAACAACAAAATCTCAAAAGCACACTACAAAGATATACCCCCACCAAGTTACCATAAAAGGTCAACACGCCACGAATGTCTCGCGTGGCCACGCGCATTACGCATTGTTCACGTGATCTTAACAATAACATATTATAGTATAATATACGATAAACACAGTTCTTGACAGCCAAATACGAGTCTTCATTACACTTCGCTGATGTTTTCTCAACATATTGAAAATTCTTCACTGATTTCACTAATTAACATCTCTCAAGAGTAGAATTGCATTGCAAGTTGCAAGAAAAATTGCACCGTGTAACATGGCCTTAAAGCAACCGCCACAGATTTATAATTTTTCCCTGAAAATTTTTGTTTTTGTTAGATAAAAAGAGACATAAATATGAGATGAAGCGAACTAAAAACGTACTTGATCCAAACTGTTTATTAATCTGACTTATTGAATATTGTTTTCATATTTGTTGTCTTTGATTACTAAAATGACGAAATACTTCGTATTTTTCTTGAAATACTATCCAAACTGTCAGTATTCTATATAAAAAGTGCTGTCTACAGCAGTTTTACTAACCAAGAGAACATTTTTTACAATTGCTTTTTTTGCAAATGTTTCGGACTTTGTCTTTGACTTTGTACTTGACCTCGCGCGACCTTTTTTCCATTTTTGCAAACGTACAATGCCATA